TTTCGAATACATAAAATAAGTCACCAAATTCACACAACTACCGTGCACAATAATTGTGGAGAAAAGAAAATTATATAAATCATTCAATATTCAAAAACGTGTTTTTAATGTCAAACATATAAAACTAAAGATTAAAACTCATATTATATAGTCCATCGTTCTCCTAACACAAAGAAAACTAACATAGCATGTTATGAAAAAGAAAACAAAAGAAAAATCGAAGAATCGACATCACCTAAGTAAAGTTAGAATTGAATTTCTAGTCTTGGAATCAATCTTCATGCTTCTTACCTCCTACTATGCTCCCAAAATCTCTTAGAATATGTTATAATGCATGGTCACCACTTTTGGACGGCATTAGGTTTTTAAAAGACATCCCAATATTTGTTTCCATAAGAGTTAGAATCAAATTAGGAAATCATAAATTTTTCCCTACTTTAGCCTGAACGGGCGCCCAGTAAAAAATTGGACGATTGCCCAAGCATAACAAATGGCCCTATTATTATAGGGTCACCCTTAAAATAGAACTTTATTTGCACTTTCAAAGCAATATTTTAATTAAATGATATTAATAAAGGTAAGCGCGTGACATAATATTGTTCAATTAGCAAGTAATTGAGTTACAACTGTTGAAAGTTAGTTAAGATATATAATATTTGAAAGCCAAATTTCCTCCAAACGTCCGACAAATGCGAGTCTCTAAGCTTGGCTTTGTTGTTATAAAAATTCCTGAAGTATAGTTTCTTTTACAATCACATTTTCATCTTCTTAAAAGTCTTTCATTTATTAGTTCAATCTGAATCTAATTTTTCATCTGTTGAGATTATTTTTTACCCTAGTTAGGGATCATTGTCTGCAGAAATCAGTTTCTTAATCTGTGGATAAAATAAAAACCCTCGACCTGATCATAGCACCTTGTTGTGGGATTAACACAATGAGGAGGAATCCTTTAAAATCATCGAGAAGTTCTGTAAATGTGAACAAGACAACCAATAAATACGACGATGCAGAAGCATTGTCCACCATGGCCAGAAGTGTATCAATGCAAACGGGTTAGATTCGAAACTATTCATTATCTATGACATTTTCTTGGCGAAATTTCTATTTGCATTTATGGATTTTGGGTTGCTGAATTTTACGTTAGATCTCAAAATGATGCAAATATTTTGATTAATATGTATAAACAGAGACTGATATGTTCGTTTTCCAAATTGAATCTGAAAGTTTTAGATTCTTGACAATTTTCAGACATTTGCTTGTGTTTTTGATTTGTTGACAAATAGTTTTGGTGGGAAATCTAGGTGTTATAACCTGAGTAACTGCTACCTTTTTTATCATATGCAGCTGGTCATAAACAAAGGTTAATAGCTGAAGAAATACTTAGACATGGAAATGCAAGAGTTGCTGGTGAGGTATTCACTTTCCGAGAACTGGCTAGCGCGACTGAAAACTTCAATCCCGAGCTGCTAGTAGGCGAAGGTGGATTTGGAAGAGTCTACAAGGGATATCTCAAGAACACAAATCAAGTATATATATCATGGATATTTCAGTATCTTTATTTCAAGAATAAAGCTCTTTTGCCAGAAAATGTTTGACACCTTGGTTGACATACACTCACATGCGTAGAACCTGCGTGAATAAAAAATGACAAAAAAATGCTCCCTTAATTGTGTGTGCGCTTTCGGGGAGGGTGTCAAACCCTCCCTGGCAGCATAGCATGATTGTATTTCAAAATTTTGTTTTATTTGCATATACATTTGCTGTCTTATCATACTGGATTGTTTTCCTGTCTAGACTGTGGCTGTTAAGCAACTTGACAAGAATGGAGTTCAAGGAAACACGGAATTTCTTGCTGAAGTTTTAAGATTAAGCCTCGTTCACCATCCGAACTTGGTTAATCTAATAGGGTACTGCGCCGATGGACACCAAAGGATATTAGTATATGAATACATGTGCAATGGATCTTTAGGTCACCTTCTTGGTAAGCTTTTGAATTTTCAAGAAACTTTTGAACAGATAAGTGGTTTTACGTTATTGGTGTTTGTTACTTTTGTTTTGTTAGATTTACCCTCGAATAAGAATCCTTTGGATTGGTACACGAGGATGAAGATAGCCAACGGGGCAGCTCGAGGACTTGAATACTTGCACGACACAGCCAACCCTCCGATCATCTATCGGGACTTCAAACCATCTAACATATTATTGGATGCAGAATTCAATCCCAAGCTTTCAGATTTTGGACTTGCTAAGTTGGGTCCCACGGGCGAACAGGATCATGTTTCGACTAGGGTGATGGGGACGTATGGCTATTGTGCACCAGAGTATGCCCAGACAGGCAAGCTGAGTACGAAATCTGATGTCTACAGTTTTGGAGTCGTGTTTCTGGAGATTATTTCAGGAAGGAGAGCTTTGGACAACACGAAACCAATTGAAGAGCAGAACCTAGTTGCTTGGGTAAGTTAACAAATTTTATGATGTGGTTCATCATTATAAGCAAAATACAAACTAACATAGAGTACCTAATCTCGAGTAAACAAACCTGGTAATGTTAATTCAGAACGTAATTCTGCAGGCAAAGCCTCTTTTCAAGGACAAAACAAAGTTCACGTTGATGGTAGATCCATTGCTAGAAGGGAGGTATCCGTTGAAGGGTCTGTATCAAGCTGTTGCTGTTACAGCCATGTGTCTTCAAGAAGAAGCTAGCACCCGACCTTTGATTGCAGATGTCGTTACTGCTCTTGAATATTTAGCCGATGAGAATGCTAACGATGAGAATATTGATGACGAGATTACTATTGCAGTAGAAGCATAAGCTGCAGATCATCGGTATTATTTTTGCATATTTTTAGGCCTAATTACTGGCAAAGAAGTAGGGAGGAGTAAATTCGACTTCCATTTTCCATTTTGAATATATATCAAATTGGTGAGTTCTGTATTTCTTTATTGAAACGAATGTTGTTATGTAATACTCAATAAGACAATGGACAGTATTTTTTTTCTTCTTTGAAACCATCCAAAGGTTTTGCCATGCTACCTCTCGTTTTTTCTTTGAGTATCTGATATATATTTGGGCATAGCTTGTCTTCCGTATACAGCAATCCGTCTCAGTCAGGCGGCTAAGCCCAAGAATTTTTTTTGAATCATGTCTAAATCATCAAATTGACAAGTACAATGAACTTGTAAAGTAAGATGATTTAAAATTTCCAAGAAAACTATGTCCATTCCTAAGAATTCAAGACTAACTAATGTTTTAGACTTGAACATCAAATTTCTTCGACTCTGCTTTAAGGTTTCTACAAGTGAACCCCGAATTTCATTCATCCTTAGAACACATGCCTGATATGATCACATTATCCCTTCTTTTGTTACTTCTTCATGACACCGCCAAAAGCCTGGAACCCGGCCAGAAGTTTCATTCATATGAAGCCATCTTCTCTTGAAGGTGTCTCTAATTTTACACGACTTACACCAGAGTCCAATTCAAGTACTGTGAAATACTCATCTCCCTCTAAAGCGACCCTACAGTACCACGGCTGCCAATGGTAAAGGCTCTAGACTTGTAATGTTGTTATGAACAGTTTTGTTCAAAGTGGACATCGTGAGATTTTGCATCATTGCAACTGCTGATAGAGATGTGATTCATCATTTGTACCTCCAAACAACGAAGAGAGTGAACTTTTACAATTTATCCATTTCCTTTTGCCTTCATGTAATTTTTGTACATGTTGCCTGTTTTGCATTATGATCATTGATCACAATCTTGGCGGAATTGCCACATATG